GGGGGAAGGCTGCTAGGGGCCAACCCTGTTGGTGGCATTCATAGTCACAATTGATGACTTGTGGCGCCTTGTGCATGGACGAAGAGAATTAAGGACAGACACCCAGTGGCCACATATATCAGGAAAACAGAGTGTCACTGAGCTGACCCTGCTGTTCATGCACTCAATCAACTAAAGACTAGTCATATGCGAGTCTAGTACTACCCATGTGTAGCACGCTCGGTGCTCTCACTAGACTACTCACAGCACTCTCGGCCAAGCCCGTCTCTGCTAATGCCACATCGCGTCAGCACGCAACGGCCGCCCGATGCAGGTCAGCAAGTCGACCATTGCAGTTGATAGCGGCCGCAGAAGCAATGACTCGCCCCCTCCAACTGGCTGCATACACGCCATCACAGACATAGCCACCAATCGTGCGCAGGACAGCATGTGACACCTTACTAGTAGTCGCCGATCAAGGAGGAGGGAGCCCCCAACATGTTGCCGCCTGCTTCCTTCTCGAAGGCGTGCATCTGTTCTAGTATGTCGCCGCGAGTGATGCCCTTGGACTGACGACATTCACACAGACTCTTGCACATCACAGATCGATGGCAGTGGTCGTCTCACCGGATCTGATGCCCTGATGGCCAGCGTGTCGGCCGGGTAGGGGAAGTCGCTGGTTTCGTTGAACGCCATCTCGGACACGATCTCGAAATCCTCTGCGTGCATGGGCATCCATAATCATCAGGCAACAATGAGGTGAAGTTGAGTGGACTGACTTGGTTTGAGCTCCGGGTGACCATTGTCCAGCGATCCTGCGCTCGTGATGATGACCGATGGAAAAGGGTACACAATCTCCCGCATCCGCCTGTCGTGCTTCTTCCGCTCCTCCTCGTCCATCTCGGCCAGCAGCTCCTTCATCTCCTCCGAGTCACCGAGGCCTTCAAGGTCGATGAAGTCGGGCTCATTCGCACGCCGCTGACCCTTGACCTCATTCAACACCTCCTTCAAGCGCTTCTGCACAAGCACAAGAGGAGATAAGAAGCGGCGAACGAACGATACTCTCCACTGGGTCGGGCTCACTTCGTAGTCGGCTCTGACTCTCTCCTCGCGAATCCTGGCCTCCCTCAGGAGGGCGGCACGAGTTTCATGAGTTTCGGAACTCATGCCTCTCCGACCGGCCTGTTTCCAGCAGCGGATCTGCGAGCTTGAAGCAGATCTGACACAGCCGCCACAAAGTGCGTCTGACACAGCGGGCACGACCACACAGACGCCACGAGCATCGCTGACGTCGCTGGTAGACAGATCTGCTGGAATCTCGACACATATGCTGATGATATGCATCTGGCCGATGCGCTTGCCGTGCTTGCAGGGAGGGAGCGTGCAGACGCACGAAGAATGGAGAGATCTACCTTCCCGCCAGCTCACGAGCATCGCTGACACCGTTGGTACGCAGATTTGCTTCACGCGCTGCGAATGTGATCGGGGTGTGTGTGTGTGTGTGATTGCGTTGTACTGCAGGCCGAGATGTCGCAGCCATCGCCCCGAGTCTTGACGCTCGACGAAGCAGGCAACCAGCTCATCGAGACGGAGCGACAGCTCAAGAACGAAAGATGGCGTGCGACCATGGATATGCGGCTCACGGCTCTCGAGCACCAGCACCAGATGGAAGGGCTACAAGTACAGCTGGCAGCCCGCGACGCATCACTGGCAGAGAAGGACAAGCAGCTCCTCAGTGCCCAGGCGGCCGCCAAGGCCGTACAGCAATCGACGTCTGTGGGTGCGGGCCTGCTATCTGTCGCTGTCCATGTGCTGCTGGCCGTGGCGCTCATCGGTGTGGTGGCTGTGTCCATGGGATGGTGGGAGGCTGCTGAGGGCCTCGTGTGCGCCAAGCGAGAGGCGGCTATCGATGACAAGCTCAGAGCGCTTCTGACGGAGAAGGACAAGCAGCTGACCGAAGCGAGAGAGGCTCACGAGAGGCGACTGGCCGACAGGACGGGCGAGATTGTGGCACTGAAAGGGCAGCTCGCAGACCGGGAGGCGGCCATCGAAACACTCCAACAGAAGGTGGATGGACCCATCACGCACATGCCTTGGTCTTCTACACCCCCAGCCCCTACGTATGTATGTATGTATGTGTCGGCAGAGCCTCTCGCTCGATGTGACTCCCCTCTCGCTCGGGTCAGCAGAGGGCGAGTTAGGCACTTTCATGCGCATCGTGGCAAGAAACACGACCATCCCCATCAAGAAATCGAGAATCCACATGACTGTCGTCGACAACCAGGCAATGGTGAAAGGCGAGAGACGGTGTGAAACCCACGCCCAGCTCTGTATGTGCATCTCTCTCATCGATTGTAGATACTCTTCAAAGTATACGAGGGCGAGAAGCCGATGGCTGAGGACAACCATCTGCTTGGCGAGTTGCTCTTCACCGGCATCCCCCGCGCCCCCAAAGGCAAGGGCAGGGTCGAGCTGACCTTCGAGATTGACGCCAACGGTATCCTGACCATCGTTGCAACGGAGGAATCCACCGGACACACACAGGTTGGTCGCCTAAGAAGACAGCACCACAAAGCATCCGTGACATATCCGTTATATCAGAGCATCACGATTGTGTCGAGTGCGGTCAAGACCCTGGTCGACATCAAAAGAATGGTGCGGCAAAGCGAATGAGCAGATGTTCATGTGTATGTCTGTCGAGCTGCTCATTCGTCTCGTGAATGACGAGTGAGAGTTGCATGCCTGCATCCTTTTTATGCATTTATTGGTGCCTTCCATTGGCCGTATATTACGATTGCCATGGCGTACGGACGTAAGTGAGGGTAGGTGGGTGCGTGGGGCTGTCGTTTCTATCTGTAAAGTAATTTTGTCGTCATGTGTGTGAAGTGTTTTCTGTGCTTGCTGCGTGTTTTGTGGACAAGGACAGCCGACCGGCTGTGGATGTGCTTCTGCAAGGGACCGGATGTCAAGTGCACGTGTGTATCCATGTGTCCAAATGCCCAGTCGACACACACGTCACACTATCATCACAGACACACACGTTCATGCGTGAGTGGTTGAGGTGACGAGATCCATCGATCCATCCAGCAGCACCAACATGTGATTTTGTTCACACGGCTAGTCACCCGTCTCTAGCTATTGACATGCAGGCAGGCAGGCAGGCAGGCAGAGAGGCAGCAGCTGAGCCATCCACCATCGCATTCACCTCAGTTACACCCGACTGGATGGGTGCCAGTAGGTGAACACATTATGAGAATGAATCGCACGGACTCACCGGTGCCTGTCTGTCCATCTGCTGGCCTGCCTGCCTCCCATTTGGCCGTCCACCCACACCGGAGAAGCAGCGAGTGAGGAAGCGACACCAACCTAGTCATGCAAACATCAAAACCTGCCCGCCCGTCTGGCTGTCCATCCCCCTCATCCATCCATCCATCCGTCCATCCATCCATGTAGCTACGTGCCCCGCTCGCTCATCTCACGTCAGCTGCAGCGGTGTGAAGGTCGCTCTGCCGTCCCGGCCCCTCTCGACGCACCCCAGCTGCTGCCACTGGAACTGGCAGTCGTCATCCCCCAGATGCTCGTTGAAGCCCTTGACCAGCCCCGCCACGCCATGCTGCGCCACCTCGTCCAGCCGCGCCCTGTGCACCACCTCACGCACACCCAGCAGCCGGTGCTGCCCGCCCTGCTGTCCCGCATTGATGGCGAAGCACTGCAGCGGCACCCGCACCATCTCGCCGCCCACATTGGCCATCTCGCCCACCACCTCCCTGTTGCTGCTGGCCTCGTACACTGACGAGCGGACGGAATGCTCGACAGCCGCACGCACACGCCGGGCCATGGCGGAGTGGCGGGAGGGGATGGACCCAGTGATGGTCTGGGTGGCGGCCGCCATGTCGAAGAGGTACGATGCGATGCGCCAGGCGAAGATGGGGGCCTCCTGCGGGCCGACGACCAGCCGGGGGGCGAGCAAGGCCGCAAGCGACCGCTGAGGGGCGAGGGCGGCGTTGATGGCAGCCATGACGTCATCCGGCAGATTGTTGAGTACTGTCGCGTACTCGGGCAGCACCAGCTGGCGACGACGGCGGTCCTCCTCTGTGGCAGTGAGCATGAGGGCGATGTCAGCGCCCGCCTGGAGCAGCACACGGATGGTGGTCTTGACGTGGGGGATCCGGACGGTGAGGCGGTCCCTCACGGCCTGCCCCGTGTTGTCTTCCTGCAGCTGTTGGATGTCCTCATCGAGCCGTTCGGCAGCGACGGTGAGGGGTGTGTAGGTGGGGTCATTCGGGGTCCCTCTGTTGATGTCGGCAGCGGTGAGACGCCGACACAGAGAGGCAGCGACACGGTGGGAGCCGCAGGGGCAGAGTGCCGCGAAGTGCAATGGCGTGCGTCCACCCATCATGTCCACGGCCGTGATGTCGGCCCCGTTGGCCACCAGCAGGTCGATGTAGCTCTCGATGAACTGCTGGGACCAGACGGGAGGTCTCAGGGCCGCACTATGCAGCAGATTCATGCCACCCAGGTCCCGCTCGGTTGCGAGTGTGGTGTCACGCTGGATGAGCTGTCGGTAGAAGGACAGCAGGATGGCCTCGTGAGCCTCAGTGGGCTGGTCCGTCGGCAATGTGCGCACCTGCATCGCCGCCTCCCGTCCGCGCAGCTGGATGCCTGGAACAGGCAGACAGACAGAAAGACAGACAGACAGACATCATGATGTGTGTTCCGTGTCGTGAGTGCTGTGAATGGGTGTGCACCTGGGTGGCCCATCAGCAGGTTGAAGGCGGCCCGGTTGCACGACGCGAGGGCCACCCGGATGGGTCTAGACAAATGGCTACCGCCATTGATGCCCGCCCCTCTCTGGATGAGAGCACGCATGACGGCGAGCTGGAGTCCTGGCGTCTCCCACGTGGGCATGGCGACGGGAGAGGCGTCACCGCAGTCGCCTGCCCAGATGGACGGCAGACTGTTGTCCGTGAGATTGTCGATGCACAGCGCCACCAGCGGGTAGGCTTGATAGCGACCCGTGGTGCCCGTCACCCGCAGCAGTGGCTCCACGTTGAGGTCGGCTCCCTTCTGCTGAATCAGCTGCGTCACCTGCTGTGCGTCAGTGATGGTGCGGCGAATGATGGATTCGGACAGCTGTCTGCTGGCGTAACTGGTGCCAAGAGGGAAGCGGACGTCGACGACCCCCTCCTTCAAGCTATTCCAGCCAGATGGTAACGGCGCACCTGGTGGGACAGCGTCCACAGGGGAGGGTGGTATGTGTGTTGGTGGTGGGTGATTTGCTGACCTATCTCCGGTCTGTCGGCCCTGCCGGCTGCCCTGCTGCCCATCGGATCCGTCACCATCGATACCAGCACCGATAGCACGATCCCCACCAGCACTACTTACGCCCCCTCCGAGGCAGGACAGGGGCGGCGGGTGATGCGCATGGCCGCTCAGCGTCAGACCAGTGGATGGAAGGACACCAACACCAGCAGCAGGATGGGGAGCGGGGGGACGCTGCACACACCATCCACAACACAACACAATTCACAACACAACCATGCCATCATCGTGTCCTGGTGCTGACTGAGGGGCAGAGGAGGCATGCAATCACCTGTGGCTGTTGGGCACTGGGCAGGTTGGCGGCGGGCTGGTGCCTTTGGCTGTCTCCCTTGGCCCTCTTGTGCTCCTCACGCTCCAGAGGAGAGCCGGCACGCTTCACAACACCTACACCTACACCTTCACACACATACACACACGACCCAGACAATGATGACGTGCTGCGTCAGGCTGGCTGTGGTGCATTCATTGACTACCTGTATAGCTGGATGACGATGCTGCTGCTTGTGGCCCATCCACCGCCCTTGCCTTGAGATGAATGGCCTGCCGTTTACCGCGGCGGGACAACCGATGACACACACACGTACCGGAGAGTGGGTGAAGGTGTCTGTCTGTCTGTCTGTCTGTCTGTCTGTCGCGGTGCTCTCGTTCGTTGGCGTACCGGCGATGGCATGTGAGAGGGCTCTGTCATGGAGGCGTTGTTCCTCTGCCTCACGACGACATTGTTCACCGCTCCACCGCCCGGACGGCCCTCCTGGCGCTCCTCCAGGTCCACTGGGCGCCGCACGTCACCGCCGCCATCTTGCCCTGCACGCTCTAAATCGTTTGCAAAGATGGTGACACACACACACACACACACAACGATGCTGTGTGTGTGACGTGCTGCATATTTGTCTGAGTTGAGTGTACCTTCATCGCCATCGCCACCATCCGCCGGGCCAGCGGAGGCCATGTCGGTGTCGGGACGACCAGACATCACTCACACACAGATAGAGCTGCACCATGGACCACACAGACACAGAGATGGGCGGCCACCTGGTGTGTGTGTTGTGTGCATCAGTGCTGTGCTTGCCTATCAAGAGTTGGAGTCGGCGGGCATCTGTACACAAAGCCGCTCAATCAACCAGTCCGCCCGTCGACGAGGCAGACCTGCTTGAGACCACCAACACACACAGACAGCAAACAGATCATCCGTCATGGTGTGCTTGTGAGTTATCCAACCGGCGCATGTTCCCACTCACCGTCGGACGAGAAGCCGCTATAGCTACGATAATCCATCGGGGCAATACGTAGTGTGGACCCTCGAGATGGATCAGGCACCACGAGAAGCGGCTGATCTTGGGCCGAGCGGCGGACATACGGACTTCTCTGCTCCGGAGGGCCTCACTGTGCCTCCACTGGCTCACCAAGAGAACCTCGTAAGGACGAAATCGCTCATTCTTCTCCCCCTCCCTCCCCAGCTCGCATCGATCGGCTCCCGGGTTGGCAGATGAGTGCGAAGGAGCCCTTCTGTGGGCTCACAGGGCTCATCAGGTGCCAATTATTCAGCCGCAGCGAGCCCCAATTACTTTGGATGAATTCCTCTCAGTGGGTAGAGCGGCTCACATGGCTCGCTATGCGTGTGTCAGGGTGTCGTGCCTCATTTAAGATGGGTTGCTTTTAAGCGATGGAATGAGCAGGTCGCGGGATATCCAGGTGTGTTGTGCCTCATCATTGACAGACTCACGCCCGCAACGTTTGTGTCTGCACTCTTCGTGAACGACAAAGAGCGGTCATCACTTCACACACACGGACGCGACCACATGAGAAACAAACACAAGAGCAGCAGCATCCGACCTATTCAACCACTGGATGGACAGGTAGACAGATCTTCAGGCATTCTATCGAGAAATCTCGCCAAGCATTCAGTCGCAGCAAGTGTCTCACTCACTCGTCGTAGACTGCTGTTGTTGGATAGAGACTCGTGGAGAGCAAGGGAGGGGGAGGGGGGGGAGGGCGTGACAGGTGGTGGTCGAATCGTGTCTCTGTGTGTATGTGTGTGCGTGTGTGCGTGTGCATGATTGACACCATTGCGCGGTTGAGCGAGTCTGGTTCGAGTCCATATGAACGGAATCACTTGCATCCCCCACCAACAAACATGTGTCTGCAAAAAGCGAGCGTATATATAGAAC